CATCGTGTTGTAGACCCGTATGGATGGGATGATAACCGGTTAGGATAGCACTTCTCGATGGCGAACATATGGGCGACACATAATAGTTGTTCAAAATGATGCCACCACTGGCCAGTAGGTCTATGTTCGGTGTCTTGACCTGTTGTGAGCCATGAAAACTAACGTCTCCCCAACCTATTGGACACAATCAATAGATTTCATTTTGTTAATAGTTTTGAAACTTTTAAAGTATAAGTATATTAAATGTATATTAACCATAATCATCAGCAATTATAAGTACAATATTTGGAGGCTTTTTAGTATGTGGGTATAAATACACGGAATTTGTACCAAAATAAAATAATATGATATAAATTGTTGTTATTTTCATTATTAAATGTGTCTGATGAACAAACAATTGCTATAATGTGTTATTTAAAATAAAAACACTATGTTTATCATCATATGTTTTATATATAATCACTAAAATTGCTTAATCTCATACTTACTTAATAGGTCGTTAAATGTAGATAAATTTAACTCAAATATAAGTGTTTGTTCCCTATAATATTGACTTACATTAATTATCATAAAATTTACTTTTACAAATTCATGTCAAAAGCAGTTTGCGATGAATGAAGCATCAGACTTTGTGGCAATTAAATGTGAATACTGTAATACTAGTAAACATTTAATAATCATGTCTAGTCGAAACTTGTATTTTGTGTCAATTCATTACAATATTGGTTTTATTACATAATACTGTGTAAGAGTATTTATAATTTGTTGACTTCTAATTTTATAAAAATGAAAACAATTTTATTAAAGAATAATATAAATGTTATAAATGAATAACAAGAAATTGCATAGATAATTTATTATTACGTAAACTTCCAAAACCTCATTTATTTATAGACTATTTTGATATAAAACTATTGATATCACAAACACATTTATTTGTCCTATTTATAGATAATTAAATGTTGGTTTAACGAGTGTTATATGTAGATAAAATGTGTTCATTCATTCATTTATTGTTATTTATTTAAAAATTAATATGTCATTAAACATAATCCAAAAAATTAGCAAACATTTAAGATTTAAAATACATTTAAAATGCTAAATTTATAATAATATTATTTTAAACTACGATAACATCGAGAATACAGTAGTTATGGACTAAAAGTGTTACTTATTATAGAGATTTAGGGAAGTCTTTATAAATTATATTATTATAATAGAAAGTTCATCGGAAGCAACACATGGGAGTACAGGCGTCGGTGGCTATGATGTCAACAGTGCTTCTGTGGTGATGTTGACGCTCTTTAACGCCCTGAGCGGACAGCATATGTTTTGTGATCTCCAGAAAGGCTTCATTAATATTAGTGCCCTCTTTGGCCGAACACTCCGTGAATAGGACACCCTTTTCAGTGGCCAACCGTTGCCCCTCCGACCAACTGATACACCTGTCACTGGACTCGCATTTGTTTCCCATCAAAACAATGGTCACATCCCTGTCATTAACATATCTGTCCACTTCTTTGAGCCATTCAGTGATAGCATTGAATGAGCCAATGTTGGTGATGTCGTACACCATGATTATACCGTCAGCACCTGACCATCAATGTGATATTTTACGCAAATTGAACACTTATTGTCAATGAATATTACCCCGGTAGTAGGAAGTAGTGAAAGTTTTGAACCTCTCCTGTCCCGCTGTGTCCCAAATCTGAAGTCTAATGACTTTTCCGTTTAGCAGAAGTGTCTTGAGTTTGAAGTCGACTCCAATCGTATAAATATATGACT